TAGCTTCCATGCCATGCCGCATTGAGGCAGTAATTGCTGCAAAAGGGGCCCAAACCAAGTACTGAGTACATATGCATGCTTATACTTTTCAGAGGTCCAATATTGTTCTATGTACAATCCTTGTTTTATTGATTGCATGTAATATTCTAATTTTCTGAGATTGTGGATTTGGGGTTTTCATGAGCTGTAAGCCATAATCTTCACAGTTATGACACATCACGGCTTGAACTATCTTGCTTTGCATGTAATGAGTCTATCTCATATATTAGGTTCACCTTTTAAGTTGCATTACTGAAATAAATGAACTTTTGCACGATATTCTAATTTTTCGAGTTTCACCTGTAGACAAACACCTTCTGACTTCAGCTAGGTCGCAAGCAGAAAATTAATACTACAGCTTTTTCCTGTCACTATGTTCTAGCACCTGGTATTCTATATACTAGTTTTGATTCTGGAGGTCCCTTTGGTATAGCATAATATTTTGCCTGTTTTCATCATTTTTAGAAGTATAAAACAAATATAGGCTATTCTGCCTGGGACTGACGATAATCCTGCTTTTAAGGTCAGGCATGTTTTTATGTCTCTCTCTGTCCAGTGAAACATATTGTTTGTAGTCTGACACCTCATTCAAAGCTGTGAGACTCTGACACTCATTTTTCCTCTTGCTGATTCACAAGCACTCACATTTGAAAGTTTCCTTAAATACGGTACTATAGATGGTAAGTGAACCAACTGATGCTGTAATTGTGCAAGAATGCAGAATCATGGAACAAAAGACTGAATCCTTTTTTAAGAACAAGAGCAATGTTCTCAGTCTTGAAAAGATTTAATTAATTATTTTGGTTTTAAACCTCCTGAAGAGGCTACACTTACTAAGTTATCATATACTTATGAGGCCTTTCCTGGAGTACCATACAACATAAAGTGAAAATAAAATCTCTATATTTGCATAAAACATGGCAGGATTCTTATCCAAATACTGATTTAATGTGTGATTTGTGTTGCTTAGAATGGAATTTTGGTTATTTTTCCAAATTCTATTTATAACGTCTTTTGATTCAGTTTATACATTTCTGCTAAAGAATCGGAACAAATTCAGATTGCAGCTCATTGTATCTCTCACAATTCCTGTATATCTCCCTATTGGTTCCCTCTTACAAATATTGTATCTCATCTTTATATTCCTAAGTATAGGCTTCGGAATGTATATTAGCCCTCTTCTAAGTACAATTTTAAAAAAAATAATTATTCATAATTTAGGTGATAAGGAATACTGATTTGGTAATCATTTTGTTAAAGATTGTATTATAAGCTGAAATCTAGTCCATCTGGGATTTCACTGAGCTTAGTTTTCTTAGTTCGCTTAGTTTTCTACAATAATTCTTGATCCAAAATGTCTATGGAGATTCTCAATCATCCAGGTCCCTTCCTCACCATTCAATCAGAACTGCAGAAGCTTTTTGGATGAGAAGCAAAATGTTTTCAAGGAAAAAGCCAAGAAAGTCCAGTTGCCTTTTGAAAAGCATCTTTGGGACTTGAGATGCAGGAATACTTTGCAGTAAATTGTGCATTGGTTTTGCCTGTCTGCCTCTGTCTTTCTTCTTCTTTTATGTTTTCCAGATGACCAGTGATCAATTTGGCCAACTGTAAATATGAGAGTGGTAAGTATAATCTATAATTATAAGGCTGAATATATTTGGTTCAGTGACGAAAAAGCCCACAATTTTTATTAAAAAACAACTTCCAAATTAATAAAATTGTGAGCTTTTTCCAAGTTTTGTTTGAAAAATTAAAAAAGATATTATGCTTAACAATTGAAAGTATTTGGAATCTAACATTCAACTTCAATATTCACACATTCACCTCATTTTTTTTCTTTCTTATAATTCCTAAATTTATGTATTTTCTAAAGCCGTCTCATATTGTCCAATGTAAGAATAGCAATTTAAAGATGAGCGTGTAGAGGAATTCTAACAAGTTTACCAGCTGGAGTTTGGCACAAATTCATGTTAAATCAATAATAATCTGGTATATTTTTCAATGAAATTAAATTACATAGTTTCATTACTGGAATTAAGTTATGAATTAAGTTATCCCTCTGAATGGAACTTGTTCTTCCATTTCTACTCCCTAACATTTCTACATGAAACTGATGTGATTCTCTCTTCCTATCACACAGTACGTCGGGCTGCCAAAATGTGTGGGCTTCGGGAAGCAACTGAGATTGATGAATGGACCTTGTATTGGACAGATTATTCTGTTTCTCTGGATCGGGTAATGGAGATGAAAAGTTATCAGGTAAAAGTTACTATCACCCTAAGATGGAATTAAAGAATCTTTGTTTTTATTTGTGAAAAAAGATATAAAGGTTTAGATTGTACTGAATATTTTGCCTTTGATGCCTGTTTTTCTAGAAAATAAATCATTTCCCTGGGATGACAGAAATCTGTAGGAAGGACCTTCTAGCCAGGAATATGAGCAGAATGTTAAAGCTTTTCCCCAAGGAATTCAACTTCTTTCCCAAGACTTGGTGTCTTCCTGCTGAGTGAGTTATCTCCCATATTTTTTTCTTATTTAGCTTCTCTTTTTCATCATAAAAATCTAGAAGATGAACATTGACATGGGCAAATAAATTTGGCCTAAATAGTTTTATAAAAGAAAGTATAAAAGTGTCTTTTAGAATTCAAACCACTCTGCTATGGCCCTAAATATTACTGAAAATACCTTCTCTCCCCTCCCCTTGGGGCTGACTTTGAGAAGCAGTCTTCCCAACTGAATATTGGTTTTCAGTTCCCATAATTTCTTACCGAGATGTCTAGTTTTAGGGCTAGCAGTTTGGAGTATTCTTGGGCTACTGTATGTCTTAATAACATGCTTTTCCTTTTCTCTTCATTGGTCTCAGCTATGGTGAATTGCAGGCCTTTGGGAGATCAAAAAAACATAAAACCTACATCTGTAAACCAGACTCTGGTTGTCAAGGCAAAGGCATTTTCATCACAAAAACTGTAAGAGATATCAAACCTGGGGAGGATATGATCTGCCAGCTCTATATCTCAAAGGTGATCCTCTTGTATTGAAACAGGCTCCCTGTATTGCTGTGAGTCTTTCTAGCCATTTTAACTAAAACTGGCAGATATTCAAAAGCAGTCTATTACTGAAAAATAAGATCAGTATGTCAGAAACCATTGATAATCAGTAAATCTTCTCCATAAGAGAGAATTACATGGATTAAAGTGTCAGAGCTCCTAAACAGCCTCTAGAAATGGGAAGGACCTCCTACTGTTTGTGGGAAAGCATCCAGAAATCATGGGAAGGTAGGTATGGAGGTGGAGAAACTTCCTGGGATAAGAGACACAAGAATGAAGATAGCTAAAGTGAACCAGTTGGGCAATAGGTTGAGAGAGGCAGAATCCTGGAGAAAGTCAGCCATGACATTGATTACAAAGTTCCAATCTAAATTAACTAGAAGATTGTTGAAATATGCTGCATTATAAGGTAAATTTAGAGCTTGTTATAAAATTGATTTTAGATTGAATTCTTAATCAAGTATAAGTTCCACTATAGTAAATTACAAACTAGAATAACCATGGCTAAATTTGTATTATTTGATATATTTGGTGCAAGTCAGTCATGGTTGGAATACACTTATTTGGAATTTGGCTGAAATTTCCTTGTTGCCCCCCATAATAACTTCATTGTAACTGATACCTAACCCTCATGAGATGCCCAGTTGTTTGACCTGTACGGGTGATAGCACTTTGTTATGCTGGTGGTCCTTGGAATTTGAGGAAGTTTTATGAAGAAAATGGGACAAGGAATTGTTGGGGATGATTTGAGCACAGAATAGACTCTGGTATGGCAATAAATATTTGTCTTGAAGGAGTGAGTACTTGGAGAGGTCATAAAGGTGCCATTCAAATATCTGTTGCTGTTAGCCATAGGGCAAATTTTAATTTAATGGTCTTCAGTTACAGGAAATGAAACTATGAATGAAACTATACTGTAAGAAATATTCTGACAAAGGCAGATCAACCATGGCAACTTCGCTGGAGCAAGGGTGGGCAACTTTCTGTTTTAACTGAATGTTAAAACAATCTCAGGGGGCATCTAGTAGTCAATTGAAATAAGTGGGTGAAACCCAAGCTAACAATAGCTGAAGACCCTTTCTGTTTCTGGCGTGCTTTTTTTTCTTTCTAGTACCATTTTCTTTTTTTAAAAGCAATAGACTATTGGGAAGGATATTATATCATGCTAGAAATTGAATGAAATCTTGCAGATGTATCTGAAATTAAACAAATAGCTACATGTAGTCTTATAGCTTTGGATTGTCCTCCCTAGCTCAGAAGAATGTAGGGCCACTCTTACTCAAGTTCTTAAATAACTGGTTAGATAGCCATCTGTTGGGTTGGCAGTTAAAGCTGATCATGTGTGGCATCATTCAAGAGATTTGACTAGATGACTTACATGACCTCTCTGGATCTATGAATCAATAACAGCCCTCCCCAATTTCTTTTGCTGTACCTTTAGAAAAAATTCCAAAGATCTTTAATCATTATCAACAGATGGAGGTTTTATATTTTAAGAACTCATTGAGAATGGCTTTACATTGTCCTTTTGAGTATATACTTATATGAGTCCTATTACATGAATGGGATTGGGTACAAGACATTCTTAGTAATTTCACACAGTAAAGAACTTTTTTGACCTCCCTTTATCAAAAAGTATGTCTGAATTGATTTTTTACTATACTATAAGCTGTTAGCAAAAACTCAGAAATATGTATATTGCCCAGTGCATGGTTTTTTCTAGATGAAACTGTATTTGTAGATATTTACTTGAAAATTAATCTTCTTTTCTCAAGCCATTTATTATTGATGGTTTCAAGTTTGATCTTCGGATTTATGTGTTGGTGACATCATGTGATCCATTACGGGTATTTGTTTATGAGGAGGGACTTGCACGTTTTGCAACATCTATGTATTCAGACCCATCACAAAGTAATTTGGTGAGTCAAAAGGCTGAATTCTGTTGTCATCAGTAGTCATACAAAAACATCAATGGATCTCCATTTGAGCCCCATCATTTTTGGGGGGAGGGATGTGTCTCAATATTTCCCCAAAATTAATATTAAGATTAGAGGAACCTTTACTACTGAATTATACTGATATATTTCTCACACTGGTGAATTGACAAGTATTGGCAACAGTCCCCTTAAATAAGAATGAGGTGTTCCTCTAATTTAAATGAAGATTAAATCTGCTGATTTCACACACAAAACACACTGCAAACTATCAATTTTTTTTCATACTGCTATGTAAAGGAGCATTGAAACATGAGAGTGTCACCTTTGTTAAACTTGTCAGATGCAATGGGATGATTGAAACTGCCCTTTTCCTATGTGGGCAGTGCATGTGATGCATGTTAAAAAGGAACAGAGCTTTGGTCACCCGGTCATGCACACCATTTTGTATGCTGTTGCTTTGCAAATGTTTCTGACTGTATGTGTCCTCATCTTCCCCACCTGGAATAGCAAGCACTTCCTTTATTATCCGGTGGAGAGGCGTTGAAAGCATCTACTAGTTAGTGGTTCCCCCCAAACTTGTTCTTACTTGGAAATATTGCTTTTTGTGGTCAAGATGATTATGATTATGACAATTGGCCAAAGTTTAAGAGCACAGCAAGGGTGCCCTTCAAAACAGCAAACAAACAGGGGGGAAATTATTGTCAAGCTGTCTTAATATGTTTGTTTCATGGGGAAGCCATAGGAGCCAACAGAAGGAACAAGTTAGAAATTCCCATCAATGGGGAATGTGTCTTTGCCCAGACACAGCAGCTGAATAGCTACCAGTCTTCAAAGTCATGGTTACACGCCATGGTGGTGCCAGTATTGGATTAGCACAGCCATTGTGTATGTAAAGGCCTATAATTTAATTTACATTTTCTGCTTTTGAGCCTAGATAGCTATCACTGCTCAGGATTTATTTTTGTAAAAGACAAACACTGGGTAGGTTCAATTTTGAAGAGAAAAGCAATGCAGGGGAGAAAGCACTTAACCCTTTCTTGGCTGCACTTCTCTACTTCAAATCACTGCCTGCAGTGATATTTATCCCTGCAAGATTCCAGATATGTTTTTTTAATAGATATTTTTATGAGATAGAGATAGATTAACATCCTATAAACAAGGTAAGGCTATGGAATGTATAACTTTTCAGATGTGCCTGTACTACATCTCCCAATGTCCTTTACTATTGGCTGGATTACTGGAAGCTGTAGTTCACCAATATTTGGAGAATCATGCAGAATTAATAAAGTATTTTATCTCTCTTTATTCATTTTAGTACAGACCATAGAATAGTCATCAGCCTTTGTCTGAACCAGTATATTTTTCTTTAATATATATTTAATATATATATTTCATTTGTTTTAGTTGTGCTCTTAGTTTCTATCAAAAGTACCTAGGTAGATAAGGGTTTCTTTCAGATTGTGGTTATACAAATCACATTATCAAGGAATTTAGAACACAAAGTTTCAGCTTATTGCCTCATACTATAAACATTTAAAAATCATTTTTATGTTATTGAAATCCCATCGCCAGATAAATTAAGGAAAACTAAGTAAGATAAATATAACTTGCACATCTGAAAGGAGATGTAAAGGCCAAACAGTTTAAGCTTTTCACAAAATATGTGTGTTTCACATGCCATTCTCTGCCCCTTCAACCCCGAGACTAGAACATAATGGGGATTAAAATCTATCTAGCCTAATATCCTGCTTGTTGTTTAATTATTTACAGGACAATGTCTGCATGCACCTGACTAATTATTCAATTAACAAGCACAGTGCTAATTTTGTACGAGATGAAGATTCTGGTAGTAAGAGGTACAGAATGTTTTCCAACATAATCATAGCTGGGGGATACTGGGGACTTGCTCTCATGAATCTTTACAGCCATTTCAGACTTGTTTAAGAAACTGTTCTCCAAATTCAGCTGGCACATGGCTCATTTTCTTTCATTAGGTGATGTAAATCATTTAAAAAGCTCAGATGAGTAACAGCGGGAGTCTGGAGGAGGCAAGAGGAGCATAGATTTATTCCTCCTAAAGGAAGTACAAATGAATTTATTGAAATGGAACCGCTGGGTTGTTGTCCCTTGTTTTATTATTTTTCTCTTTAAATCTTACACAGAATGGTCAGTCTGATCTCATTGCTGCCACCTCCATTTTTCTTTCTCCTGCATCTAGGTCACTGCCAGAATTCTTGGATTTTCATTTGATTACTTGCAACATTTTAGTTTGCTGGCTCCTATTGTTCTGCAGTGTTCTATCCATTGCGGCAAAAACTTGGCTTCCTTTGCATAGTTTTCCATAGCATCCTCATGATTTTCCAGTAAATGGATCAAATACGAGCAATGCAGGGCTTACTTCTGCAATGCAGTGCTGCTGTCCAAAACCAGGATCTGCAGTGTGCCAAATCAATAAACAAGGAAGAACAGATGTTCCTGTAGCTCTAATGCCAAGATATTCAAGAAGTTATTTGATTCTAACTCAGATTAATAATTAGGCCAGAGAGTAGAAGGAAGATCCCAATTTAGGAAAAAGGAAATGTTAACAGTGAAGTGTAAAAGCTTTTAGATTAGAGATATACAATGTATTTTTAAAGCAGTGCCTATTGGATTAGCCTTTCTCATGCAATAGTGGAGAAGAGTATTAGGGGATCAACTATGCTGGACTTTATGCAGTAAGAGAAAAAAAAATGTTTCCTGCAGTTGTAGGAATTGTGAAATAGAGTAACTGTATGATCCTAAAATTGACTATATTGTTCTATATTTCAAAAGATCTGATATCAATAAGCTAAGGGAAAATTAGGAAGAATTCCATGGATAGAAATCCTAAAAGGGAAAAAAGGAGGCTTGGGAAAAGATAATATAATATTAAATTAAAATGGGAAATGAAACCACTGTGATTACATAAAAAAAGGACACATTTCAACTTTCAAATATAAAAAGCAAAATATTAGAAAATAGCACAAATCTGTAAGAATGGATGAGGAAGGTCAAAATTCAGAATGAGCTGAGGTTTTTAGTGAATGCCAAAAATAACAACAACAAGATTATTTGGGTAGATGAAGAATGAAAGAAAAATCCAAGAAATGGCCCAGTTGTTGGAGAACATGACAAAATGGTGATCACAGGATCTATTAATTGCTATTCTGCACCTGTCTTTTCACGAAACAAAAAAAAAACACATCTCTCAAAAGCTGCATCCTGAGTGGCAGAAGAGAAATTCAGGAAGTGATAAGAAAACACCTAGCTGATTTGATGAATTCAGGTTGCCAGGATCAGATGATGAAAAAAGTAAGGTTCTACATTTAAGCAAGAAAAACCAAATGCACAGGTACAATATAAGTGGTACCTCGCTCAATAGTAGCAACTGTGAGAGGGATCTTGGAGTCCTAGTGGACAATCATTTAAATAGGAGCCAACACAGTGCTAGGCTACATTAACAGAGGGATAGAATCAGAATGATGTGAAGTGTTAATACCACTTTACAATGCCTTGGTAAGGCCACACTTGGAATACTGCATCCAGTTTTGGTCAAAAAAGATGCTGAGACTCTAGAAAGAGTGCAGAGAAGAGCAACAAAGATGATCAGGAGACTGGAGGCTAAAACATATAAAGAATGGTTGCTGGAATTGGGTATGTCTATTTTAATGAATAGAAAGACAAGGGATGATATAATAGCAGTGTTCCAATATCTCAGGAGTTGCCACTGGAAGTTTTTAAGAAGAGATTGGACAACCATTTGTCTGAAATGGTAAAAGGTTTCCTGCCTGAGCAGGGGGTTGGACTAGAAGACCTCCAAGGTCCCTTCCAACATATTCTATTCTATTCTATATTTTTTATAAAAAAAATTATTGATTTTTTACAATAACAATCCTTAGTGCCTGGTATACAGCGTGTTGTCTTGGTTCATATTTTTTTTGGGAAAAAACATACAAGCAATAGTTAATTAACAGTCAATAATAATTAATTTTTATATTTCCATAATTAGTATATCAATTAATAATATATTTCCTTGATTTTCTCCCAATAGTATTCTCCTTCTTCAATATTACACAAATATAATTTTTGATATTTGATATTTTTAATATATAAATGATTAAATATAAACATTTTCTTCCATATTTATGATAGGGTCCATATGTGGCATTTTTTTTCTTATCAACTTATGTTATCCAAAGAAACTACAATATACATTTTACTTAAGTAGACATAAATCATGGTCTAGAATATGGACATTCTCGGAACTTAACACGATGATACAAGAAATTGAGATAGAAACTAATATCTGGGCAGATCATAACCCAATAAAGATGACTTGGAGAGGAGCCAAGAAAAAATTAAGATGGTCCTTGAACAAATCTATATTGAAAGAAAAAGAATTCATACAACTAGCAACATAGAAAATGGAGGTTTTTTTTCAAAATAAACAAAGAAGAGACATTGTTTCAAAATGTGTGGGACACAGCTAAAACATATTTCAGAGGATTGGCTATAACTTCTACTGCTAAAAAGAATAAAGAAAAGAAACAACAACAGTTAAAGTTGAAGGAAGAATCCAGAAAATTAGAATAAGAATTACAAATAGACCCACAAAAGAAAATACTCAAGAAGCAAATGGAGATAATAAAACATAAATTAAACCTAGCTGAGATAGAAATAATGGCTCAACAGATTAAAAGGGCTAAACAGAACTTTTTTGAAAATGCCAACAAATTGGGGAGATGGTTAGCACATAGACTGAAAAAAGAAAAAGAGAAAAAACTGATAAACAAGTTGCAAGACTCAAAAGGTGTATTAAAGTTTCAAAATGATACAATTAAAAAAGTTATCAAAGACTATTATGAGATACTTTACAATTTAGAGGAAATTTCATAAGAAAAAATACAGCAGTATTTAAAAAAAAAGACTTACCAAAAATTTCAGAGAATATTCAAAATATATTAAATGGAAAAATATCAGTGATGGAGATTACAGAGGCTATAAGAAGGCAAAAAAATGATAAGACTCTGAGTCCAGATGGATTACCCGCAGAGCTTTATAAATCATTACAAGAGATACTAAGCCCAATATTGAAAAAACTGTGCAATGAAATACTTTTGGAGGCTAAAATACCAAATACATGGACTGAAGCCAATATTACTTTAATACCCAAAGAAGACTCTGATTTAACGCAAATAAAAAATTATAGACCAATATCGTGATTAAATGTAGATTATAAAATTTTCGCCTCAATAATAGCAGAAGGACTAAAGAAATTTCTGACCGAATTTATACATACAGACCAAAATGGCTTTCTATCTAAAAGTCAGATAAAAAATAATTTAAGAATGTTTTAGGGCAGGCTTTTCAACCGGTAGTATACGTATCACCTGTGATACTTTGCCACATGGCAGCTAGCCATGTGTAGCGGGGGAGCGGAATGAGCTTAAGCGACCCAAGCCTGAGGGAGAGGCAGCTGCAGCTGCAGAACTGTCTGGGCTCAGCAGAAGCCCCAGGAGCCAGCAGGGCTCCATATGATTGGCTCCAGCTGATTGGTACTTCCGGAAGTGGCCCCGAGCTGGAGGTGAACTGAAGAAAAAGGGGGGAGGAGAGGAGAGGCTATAAAAGGAGGTGGTTTGGGCGGGAAAGGGGGAAAAAAGACAACAGGGAAAGAGAAGAAGAGGTCAGCCGGCAGGGAGGAAACAGACAGAGAAGAAGCTATTGGTGGAAGAAAAGATCCCTTTGTTCATTTTCTCCAGCCAGGAGAATGCAATCAGTTTTGATGAAATGAAAAGCCGGCATGTTGGAAAGGAGGTGGGTTTATTTAGTTCTGGATCAGCTGGCAGCTTGATTGGGTTACCATAAGGATTTTTGTACAGTTTTTACAGCGTTTTGTAATTCAGAAGCTCCTTTGTGTGCTTTAGTTATTGGAATATTTTAGTCTGTATTTTAGGCTAGCAATGAGTCCAAAGTCTTGACTTCCATAGGTTTAATCCCTTTAAACAAATGTAATTAGTTTTATCCCCTTGAGTCTGTCTGTGGCTTTTAGAAAGTTTTCTTTGAAGATAAACAGGCTTAATTTAAGGCTAAAGCTTTTCGCAATTGCCAGAGCCTTTCAGTCTCAGTTGCAACATTGTGACACGTGACACGCCTAAGGCAGCTTAAAGAAAATAAAACGGAGTTTATGTATTTCTTTATTTTGTGAGCCTTTTTTGCTTTGCACTTGATTCCTGTGTCTTTAAGGGTACAGGGAAGGGATGGGGGGTGCATTCTTACTACACTGTGGAAAGAACTTAGAAGGGAGAGGAAGAAGGACCGACCAGCTAGCTCAGGGGTCTACAAAAAGCAACTTTAAGACCTGTGGACTTCAACTCCCAGAATTCCTCAGCCAGCCATGATGGCTGAAGAATTCTGGGAGTTGAAGTCCATAAGTCTTAAAAGTACCAAGTTTGAAGACCCTTGAGCTAGCTGGTAGAGGTGCATATTAATAAACATGGATAAATTCATCATACATTTTTCAGTGTAAAGGGAAAATGATTCAGCAAAGGAACAGCCACCAAAGAAATTAAAAGCTGTTGAATTACAAAACGCTGTAAAAACTGTACAAAAATCCTTTTTTTCTACAATTTGTAATGTTTTGTTAGATTATAGAATAAAATACAAAAATATAAAAGTAAATAGTAGGACACAGTGGGAAGGAAAAATGGGGGGAAAGTGAGGGGGAGAAAGGAAAAAGAACAGGCTTCCTCTGTTGCACTGGAAGGAAGCATTAACATTGAACCTCAACTTTTTACTTTTCCATAATATTATAAACTAGCCATTTCTATAACAACAAATGAATCTAATCAATAAAACCCCAAATCCCCCCCTTTTTTTAGTAATCAAGTTTTTGACACCTTGCTAAGCACTGGTAGTACTCTAATATTGTCATGTCCTAAAAGTACAATCGGTGAAAAGGTTGAAAAGCCCTGTTAGAGTACTATGAAATTCATCCAGGGAAACAGATGGCTTTAATATTTCTTGATGCATAGAAACCGTTCGACAACATAAACTAGCAATATATGTTTCAGCAACTAGAGGAAATGGATTTTGGAGAAAACTTTATAAATGTAATTAAAACAATTTATTATAAACAAACAGCCAAAGTAATTGTAAATGGAGATTTTACAGGAAACTTTGACATCAAAAAAGGCACAAGACAGGGATGCCTGCTATCTCCATTATTATTTATACTAACACTGGAAGTATTGAATAGAAACATCAGACAAGATATAGAAATTAAAGGACTGGAGATAAAAGATGAAAAATATAAACTACGAGCATTTGCAGATGACTTGGTTTTTATATTGGAAGAACCGCTTGAAACAAGCACTAAACTTATGGAGAAAATAGAAAAATTTGGAGAAATGGCAGGGTTGAAAATAAACAGAGAAAAGACTAAAGTGCTAACTAAAAATCTAACAGAAAAACAAAAAAAACCAACTAGCAAAAAAACCCACCAAATCTTCAAATAGTTAAAGTTAAATATTTGGGAATTTATTTAACAGCAAGATGTGCAACAATAAAATAAGACAACTATGCAAGATTGCTAAAACAAAATTGGATTTGGAAAAGTAGAAAAATTTACAACTTTCAATGCTGGGGAGAATAGCAACAGTGAAAATGAATATCATACCGAAAATATTCTTTCTATTCCAAACAATACCCATAAGACTTGGAAAAGCCTTTTTTGATTAGCTAAATACAATAATACTGAAATTTATCTGGCAAGGAAAAAAAGCTAGAATCAGACTGAAAATGTTACAAGAAGCGAAAGAAAGTAGAGGATTTGGACTGCCGGACTGGATGTTATACTACCAAGCAACCATATTAAAATGGCTTAAAGAGTGGATAATGCTCAGAGATAAAAAAAACTATTATACCTAGAAGAGCGTGACCTACAACTTGGTTGGCATGCCTTTCTGTGGTGTGGGAAGAATAAAATTCATAGATTCTTTCAAAACCACTTTATAAAAATGCACTTCTTTTAAAATGGAAAAAAATAAAAGCAAAAATTTATATCAAAATACCTGGATGGCTTTCAACAATGGAAGCATTTGCTTACTCAAATTTAATTAACAAAGTTGTGACCTATAAAGACATTTTGGACAATGAAGGGAAGTTGAAAGACAGACAAGATTTACAAGAACAAGGCATTGATCTATCATGGTGACCATATTTGCAAATCCAAACGAGATATGAAAAAGATGCTAAAACATTGGGATTTTATAAAGAACAGACAGAATTCGACCAGATACTGTTAAAAACAGACGAAAAACTGACTAAGATACATATCTGTTAAGCTTAAAGATGGAGGAGGAACAAGTAAAAGAAACATTGATAACATGGGCAAAGAACTTTGGACATAATATAGAATTAGAAAACTGGTGAAGGTTATGGGAAAGAAATGCTAAATTATTGAAAGCAGTGGCATATAAAGAAAACTTGTATAAAATGTTTTACAGATGGCATTTAACACCAGTGAGATTAGCAAAAATGTTTAAAAATACTTCAAACTAATGTTGGAAATGCAAACAAAAGCCAGGTATTTATTACCATCTCTGGGGGGACATGCACTAAAGCTAAAAGATTTTGGTCAAAAATACACTTACGGTTGGAGAAAATGACTAAAAAACAAATAGATTTTAAGCCAGAATTATTTTTGTTAGGAATAATAGGAGCAAATTATGAGAAAGACTATATACATTTAATTTTACATTACTAACTGCAGCAAGGATTGTATTTGCCCAATATTGGAAAAATGAAAATTTACCAACTGAAGAAGAACTAATTAAGAAAATTTTAGAGTGTGCAGAAATGGATAGATTGACTTTAAAGATAAAAGAGAAAAAGATTCAGTGTATTTTAGAACATGGGATAATTTTTATCAATGGCTAGAAAAACGACTTTGAGAGAAAGGAATGTGATACGTAACATTGAATATATACTAGTAAGAAGAAGATGATTGAGCGATTAATTAACATTGTTTATGATAATTATTCATTGTTTTTTTAAATACATGAACTCAGACAACATGCTGTTTGCTAAATATTAAAAATGTTATTTTAAAAAATCCTAATATGAAACACAATGTGGGCAATTTGACATTCTCTCACCAGAAAGGGTTAAAGGAACAAATCTACTTCATCAGAGGAAGTGCCAGTAGGCTAAAGAAGAACTAATGTTGCTCCAATATTTTTTTTAAAAAGGGGGAAAAAATGGACCCAGTTAACAGACCAATAGCTTGGCATCAATACCTGGAAAAATCATAGAAAAGATAATCAACCAGTGGGTTTGCAAGTACTTAGGAAAGAAAAAGATGATTACTGGAAGCCAGTATGGGTTTATTAAAAATGAGTTGTGCCATACAGTTTTAATGCTTTTTGCAAAGAAATTAGATTGCTATGGGAATGCTCTGGATGTAGTGTATCTGGGCTTCAGAATGACTTCTGATAAGTTTGACCATAGCCGCCTCCTTGATTTATTATTTATTTATTTGTCAGAAATAAATATTTATTTGTATCATTTTAAGGTTTTATGTATAGGTATAAGTACAAAAATAAAAACATATCATTTAAAAAATATAAAAGCCTAATTTTGGCAGTGCCTGCCCAGAAGCATGCAACATTGATTGCATTCTGTTGCATGGTCATAAGGTCCCCAGAAGTACATTGGGCTGGACATGGGGCAAGTTTACATGTGTATGATAGATAGTCTATAGGTCTCTGTATTCACAGTGGGCAGAAGTCAGTTTATTTAGCAATTTCCAAACTTTCCAGTTTGAAAAATGATAGCATACTGCCACAGCATCCTGTCATAGAGAAAGGATCTGTATTTATTCTCTGTAGTGCTTGAGAGTTGGGCAAGAACTAATGGGTAGAAGCTTTACAGAGAGAAATTCCACTTTACAATGCCTTGGTAAGGCCACACTTGGAATACTGCATCCAGTTTTGGTCACCACGATGTAAAAAAGATGTTGAGACTCTAGAAAGAGAACAGAGAAGAGCAACAAAGATGATTAGGGGACTGGAGGCTAAAACATATAAGGAACGGTTGCTGGAATTGGGTATGTCTAGTTTAACAAACAGAAGGATGAGGGGGGACATGATAGCAGTGTTCCAATATCTCAGGGGCTGCCACAAAGAAGAGGGAGTCAAGCTATTTTCCAAAGCGCCTGAAGGCAGGACAAGAAGCAATGGATGGAAGCTAACCAAAGAGAGAAGCAACCTAGAACTAAGGAGAAACTTCCTGACAGAACAATTAACCAGTGGAACAACCTGCCTCCAGAAGCGGTGAATGCGCCAACACTGGAAGTTTTTAAGAAGAAACTGGACAGCCATTTGTCTGAAATGGTATAGGGTTTCCTGCCTGAGCAGGGGGTTGGACTAGATGACTTCCAAGGTCTCTTCCAACTTTATCATTATTATTATTATTATTATTATTATTATTATTATTATTATTATTATTATTATTATTATTATTATTATTATCAAAGTTATTAAACAATGGAGCACCCTGCCTCATAGAGAAGTTCCATTACTAGAAGTTTTCAAAACAAAGATTTTACAGATACTATCAGGGCTTTTTTTCTCATAGAATGCCCAGAACGGAGTTCCGGCACCTTTTTTGGATGGAACCTTGTAGGGTAGGCAAGGCGGGTTGTATGACATGTATAAATTCCGGCACCTTTTTTGAAAAAAAGCACTGGATACTATTATTCGTTTGAGATGGTTTAAGGATTCCTACCCTGGATTAGAAAATCTCCAAGCTCCCTTCGACTCTGTGCTTGTATGCTCCGTCTCATCCATCTAATTTGTAATTTGTACTATGGGGTTGTTTTATATGCCAGACTAGTCCTAAAGTTACACCTTGCTCTAAGCTAATATATAATATGGATTCAGCCAATTGTGGATTTATCCATTCCATGGATAACACAATATGTGAATCAAGTCATTTCTAAGTGTTAATTTATATTAGTTATTGCAAAAGCTACACTATGGATTGCATATTGTTCTAGATCAGTGGTGGAGAACCTAGGGCATGCGTGCCAGAGGCGCCACTCAGAGCCCTCTCTGTGAGCACGCACACTGCTGCTGCCAGCAGCTTGCGCAGATCCATTAGGCCGCCGCCGCCCGGAGGTGGCCTAAGCCCAGCACAAAGGAGGCGAAGTGGCCAGCCAGCAAGCTTGAGTAGAGGTGGTAGAGCATGCCCACAGCCAGCAAGTCAAAGGCCACCCCAAGCAGGGAAAACTGGATCCCCATCGGCACCATGGCCCCCCAGTCCCAGCTAGGATTGCATGCCTCTCCCCCATCTATGCTGGGCCTCCTGCCCACCACCCCACCCGCCAGAGACCCCCTGGATCTCCCCCCAACCCTGCCCAGCCCCCACAAGCACCCCTCCATGAGCAACATCGAGGTGGCCATGCCCACCCAGTCTGCCATGACAATTGGAGCCATGCCCATCCAGTGGGCCACACCCCCATGTCCCCCTGAGGGCACCACAAGGCTGATGCGGCCCTGGCACTTTGCGATAAATAAGTGAGTTTTGGGTTATGGTTTGGGCACTCGGTCTCTAAAAGGTTCACCATCACTGTTCTAGATTCTTGTATTTGAAATAAAAAGGTTTGCATATGCATTAAGAAGATAGAGTTAATTTGAGGCTAATTAAAAAGTGGAAGAGAAGTGAATTGCTCAAATATACTGTCTTACTCCTATTGTCATTCCACCCCTTCCCCTTTTTTTAAGGAAGCTGTCCACTTTTAATAAGTACATGGATCAAAATGGTTATGATACAGGGCAAATATGGAAGGATATTGAAGATGTTGTTATTAAAACATTGATATCAGCCCATCCTATCCTCAAGCATAATTATCTCACTTGCTTTCCCAACCATACCCTGTGGAGTGCTTGTTTTGAGATCCTGGGATTTGACATCTTGCTGGATCGAAAACTAAAACCATGGTTGCTTGAGGTATGTACCTTCTTTCAAAATAAATAGATCTCTGGTTCTTTCCATGGAAAGTTTTTATTAGACATTTGCCTTCCTTATTCGTAGATTTTTTTAAAAAAATACTTGCAACTCACTATTTTCTCAACCACTTCTGCTTAATATTTCTTAATTGTGAACTCTGCTGTATTTTCTCATTGGTAGCTCCAAGAACTGTCACTAGAAGAGTTAGGGTTAGGGATTCTTGGATTCAGAATGCCTAATCCTCATTCTCTCATTTAGAGTTAAGACAACAACTTCTATTCTCCCATGTCTTTCTCAAGCTCTACTTTAACATCTTCCTTTTCGGCCTCTCTGCTTCAACAGTGGGTGCCTTGTGGCAATATTTCCAATAGCACGGATTACCAGCAGATGGCATTAGACAATTGATAATGTTGCTTTAAAATTAAACAACAATTTTGCGTTTGGGAATTACCAGTTGGGAAAACTCAATTGGTTGTATAAAAAAATCTGCTAGAAGAATTAGAATTAGAGCAATAATTTATCTAGCTAACTACCTTTTGTTCCTCATAGTATAACCAGTCACATTCTATGCCAGTCTTGAGGATGATAGTTAATAATTATTTTTAATGCTCTCTATACCTAATAATTTGGGAAGAAAATTACTGCTTAAACTATAAGTTATCCTCTTGTTTAGTTAGTTCTGTCTAAAAGTCCAGCAGTGGGATTTTCAGAGACTGGTTAAAATTTGTATACTGAAATTTGTGCACTCTTTAGTTTGAACCTATTGCTTATCAATTACAGTAATGTAATACAATATATTTCTTTTGTTTTATATATTTAGCTTTCTAATCTTTAACAAAAGGAATTGGTATGATGTTAGTATTAGAAAGAAATAAAAGGAAGAAAATAATACTATCTATTACACATGCAAATTTATACAATTGTATTGTTAATATTTATAGTAAATAACACTGTGCCAAGACTGAGATCAATACCAAACATTTTACACCATGAATTCAAATGTATATTACTGTTATCTAATATCCCTTTCCAAAATGTAATTTATTTAGCTTCTGCTTCCAGGTTTTTATATTAAATTTGTATTACCCTATATCAATATAAAAATTAATTATAAAAAGGATCTACTGGTGTAACCTTCATGAAAGTCTCAGCAAAGGCTATTACATTTCCAGGCCACAGAGAAAGATCCCACAACTCTCTTTAAGTTTTTGGAACACAGAGGGAGATAAGCATGTAATAAGTAAACTCAGTGCTTGGGAAAAATATTTACTAATATTTGAATCTCTATATGGTCAGATATGCAATTTGATGATTACTGTAGTGTAGCTGATCATTGCAAATAGTTGAAAGGTATCATAACCCAATTGCTGGTCATCAACTCTAGAAGCTTTTCTTTCTTCTCTGTTCTCCCCAAAACACTTGCTTTTTATTGCAAAACTGCAGCAGCTACAAATTCATTCAGTTTCTATGGTTGTAGGTGAATCATTCTCCAAGCTTCAGTACTGATTCATGGCTGGATAAAGAAGTGAAAGACCAACTATTATATGACACTCTGGTATTGATCAACCTGGGAGCATGTGATAAGCGCAAAATCTTGGAAGTAGAGAAACGACGAGGAAAAGAAAGGCTTCTCAAGCAGTGCCGTAATCGCGAAGCCAGGTCTGAATTTTTTTAATCCACTTTCTGGGACAGTGGCAGTGAACATTTATAATCCACTTGCAAAGCATCTCTAAATAGTATACATTTCCATCAATGTGGCTTTCATAATTTGAAGTTACTGTATTTATATGCAATTTTCTATTTACTGTATTTGGTAGCTCATGTTAAACAGATACTATATATGTTTTAAAATAAAAAAATAGGGCCAGAATTGGGTGTTATGTTATATACATGACTGATGCCAATAAAGCAAGATCCTCTGGTCATATCTCTAGTGTCTGATACATATTAGATAATACTTTGTGGCAACACATTATGCATTTCTTGGCTAAACTCAGTATTGCTTGTGGTTATTCTGGGTTTTTTTTTGAGGGGGATAGTTTTCTGGTCAGCATGAATTAGCAAGATGATAAAAGGGAAGGGAATTTAAAACAAGTTATTTTAGTTTGTTTAAAGGATAAATATAAGAAGAACTATATTCATGTATGTTTTGGGGAGCGTATGTTGATCACACCCTTAACAGGACAGCCAGGCCATAGTTGTTACTGTGTTTCAATTTTATATGCGGTTATAAAATATAAAGGTATGATTAAAAATAAATTACACATTGCAACTGAAAATATTAGTATTTAAAAAGCAAGCAACAACCCAACCTTTTTATACTGCATCGAATTATAAATTGGTAGGCAGAAATGCATCCTTTATTTAGCCATTCAGACATAACATTTTACAAAGATTGCTCTTTTTTGTATCTATCTATCTATCTTTTTGTTTGTTTTTTTGAGGAATTTAGGGGACCTTTGCAGTACCATAAAAGTAGAAGGGTAGTCTCTATAGCTGCAGCTTCAATGTGGCCCTTTGAGCTCCTGGAAAACATGCCACCCAATTGAGCTTTTAATGTGGCAGAACATGATAAAGTATGTGGAAAATATGTTAATCGTACTGAATCAAATTAAAATTAAATCCTATTCAGTGTTGTTCTGGCCTCACCTTTCTCTAGGCATGCTTCCCCTTAGTTCTCTACTTTGTGCTCAAGTGCACCGGAGAAGTGGAATGCTCCACTTTATACAGTGGAGCAAAACCGGAGGAAAATCACTATTTCTGTGAGCTCTGCAGAATTCTGCAGGGTTCAGAGTAGCCCAAAAATAGTTTGTTCAGAACTGTGTATCCTGGAACTCCTTTTATTTATATATTATTTTAATATATGAAAAAAAGAAAGAAAAAAAGGAGATAGGGAGAAAAAGAAAAACCACACAAAACAAGCAGATAAAAAGGACAGAACATACATATGTACATACATGATATCATTCAATGTAATTTTTAAATAATATTAGTCTTTTTATTATAAGAATAAAGAGGCAGTTCATGAAGAACAAATGGATATTAATAGTCCAGGTTTTAGCATTGAAAATAATTACTTTAAAAAGTAATATTTTTGCTATCTTTGTGCCACAATTCTTCATGTAATCATAAATTACAAGTTTTGGACCTAATTCAGAAGTTTATTTATCAGCTAAACTCTTGATTATTGCAATAATAAATGAGCAAAGCTACAGATATTTTTTAAAAAAACAAAAAACAAGCTTTTATCATAATGGAAAGTGACCCTTTCTCATTTTACACTTCTAAAATAATAGACATGTTTAAATGTTTAAATGTTCTAAATTATTCAGTAAATGTGAAAAAAGATTTTTTATTGAATTAACCTTAAAGGTTTTATTAAATATATTTACATTAATATTTTAGCCACTGATTTCTTAAAATGGGATATTTAATTCTTTGTTTCAAAGCCCTTAGAGGTAGTAATATTCACCTTAATGATATTTCTTAATTATTTAAACTATATACTTAAAACCATCCAAAGCACTTTCCCAAGTTATTATCAAATTTGAATTTAAAAAATTATTGTGATAATATATTTCAGATACTATCAATGCATCTGGGCCAAATTATGATATTAGTAAACAGAAATTGAACTGCAGATAAATGTTTACTTATAAAGCTAAAAATCTAATGTTATATATGCATCCCCATTATATAACAGTCATAATTCTGAGGGAAAAAAATAGACAGTTTTCTTCCCATTAATTCTTAATACCTAATCTTCTCATCAATCATCTATATTTAAATTTTTTTTGCACAATCAAATATACATTTGCATTTATAATTTTTTTTAGCAATGTGACAAACTTATAAATTTATCTGGCATGCATATAAAATATATTTGAGTCCTATTGTGGCTTTTGTTTTCCTAAAAAAGCAAAGATTTTTTTTAAATTTTTTTTTAAAGGTCTCCTTTAAGCTTAAAAAGAACAAATAGAAACAGTTGTGTAAATTTCTGCCACAGACTCGGCAGCATTCAATTTTCCTTTCATCCATGCTACCTGTTGTGTCTTGTGGAGGAACTTGCTCATTATGCCTTTTCTGCCTTGTTTTCCCCTGGAAGAGAAAAGGTGGAGAGGGTAAGGCTAATTATCCACCTTTGTGACTGAAAAATTTCTGTCTAGTAAGCAAGAGCAAAAAGATCAGAAGATATTTTGCATGATATTTACATGCTTAAAAGCTAAGTGAAAAAGTTTTATTCCAGTATGCATAGAGCTAACAATATGATTTGAACAGCAGAAAATTGAAATGGAAAAACTCTCACTCTAAAATCTTAACAGTTTTTGGGTTGGTTTTGTCAGAGCCGAGGAATTCAAGAACTGCCAGGCTATGTGGCTTCAACAAGCAGAGATCTATGAAGAAAACAACACAGGAGGTTATCGCCGAATATATCCCAATTCTGATTCTGTCAGATATGATAGGTTTTTCCAACAGAATAGTTCACTTTTCCAGGAAACAGCAGCTTCCAGAGCCCGTGAAGAGTATGCAAGGTAAGAAAGAGCATTTCTTTTTTATGTAGTAATTTTATTAAAAATTACAATTACAAAAAATAGAAACTAATGCAAACTAAAAAAAGAATAAAAATAGAAAGTTCATAAAAGAAAAAAAAAGGAAAAAAATTTGAAATAAAAAGAAAAGTAAGAATATTGTAAAAAAAGATATAATGAAATGACTTCATCCTTCATCACAACAAACATAAACAATTTAATAACTTACCACTTTCTCTTAAAACACAACAAATGATTCTTCCCATACCCTATCTCTTATATATAAACTAACCTTTAAAACCTCATTGTTAGTTCTAATCAGCAAAAGTCTTTAAGTCTTACTAGAGGTAACAACATATCTGTTTTAATCTTGATCATATAAATCAACTTTATGTTCGTTCCTTTTACTTTTGATTATCTTGATTTTTAGTCCCATCAAATAATGACTTCGAGCTTGATTTGTTTTCATTTGTTCTTTCTTTTTCCTTCTCACAAAATTCTTCAAATTTTAACAAGTCTCATTTGTAAATTCCATATAGAAAAGTATGCAAATCACTGTTTTGGTTTGTATTTTGTACATTCCTTTTAATTACAATATTTAGCCAATTTAATTTGAATGCCCAATCTCATGTTTCTCCCAATCATTCTTGTAGCCTGTCATTTTAAATTTTTAATAAAAAAATTAATTTAATTTTAATTTTTAAATTTGTTAGATGTTAGAGGGATCAGTCTCATCTGGTACAATGTGTTCCTCTTTCATAACATATTTTAAATACAATGTCTAAAGAGGCAGACACACTTAAAATTAACTCTGGATCCATTGTTCACAAAAATCCCTTAATATTCCAATGTTAAAATATCTTGTTCCATTCTGTATTAGTAAATCAAATTTAAGTATTCTCTTTTTATTTTAGTCTTTAGTTTCTTCTGGTTCCCTCCAGCATCCAATGTTCAAAGTCCTATTCTATCAAGTTTTTTTTAAAGAGAATTCAAAACAAACATTTTCTCACAAGGATTCTTATAGTTAATTCCACAATTAATTTCAAATCCATCTGGATCCTTAGTTTGTTTGTAACTTTCCAAAATCAAAGTTCCCGTCACCCTTTTCCTCTTTATTCTGAAAAAGGGAAAAAATGTAAGTCCTTAAACTTGTTTTTAAAACTCATTTTGCTAAGGATTGTAGGAAACACTCCTAGTGCTATAAAATCAGTGGTGGGATTCAGCCAGTTTTCACCACTTCGACAGAACCGATAGCTAATTTTTTGTTGCCCAGGCTCAGAATGGATTTCCAGAAGTGGCATCCACATAGAGAACCGGTTGTTCACATATTTGAATCCCACCACTGTATAAAATATATCGATCTGGAGGTTCCTAATAGCCGAAAAGCAGTTAACAAACAATTTCTAAAATTGTTAGAATTGTTGATTAGAAAACCCAGTGTCTTTTGAAGGTGCCAACTGCAGCTTTAAAAAGATGTCTATTCCTCATCTCCCAGAGCTGTAAACCCACTAGAAGCCTGTATCTTGCTATTGTAAGGAGCAGCTGTTCTATCCTTGTCCATAAAGGGCTGGACTATTCACCACCTCTTCATTCCACTGAAGACATCAGTTTTATCATTTCTTCCCCGGAAATCAAGAAAGAGGATTATTTGATCTATTTTGTCTTAAATAAAATTACAGAGACTAATTCTTAACATAAAAATGTTTCTAAATTTAATGCTTCATTTTGTGTTTTAACAATGCTAAGTAAACTGGCAAGAATCTTCTTGACTGCGGCAGGTATCAGCAAGTATGTATGAGAGAGAAAGAGAACAGTTTTCCCCCTATTTAAATGATCTTTTAGATGTCTTTTGAGATCAGAATGCTGAAGTTTACTTTGTAACAATATGTTGTTTATTTTTTTTTAAATCAATCTTATCCTCCTAATGCCACACAGGGAAATTCATGACAATTTAAAACCAATAATAAATGGAAATATTAAAAGGTAAGAGGGAACTAGACAGAAAAAGAAATCAAATTAAAGCTGGCAAGTACAGCAGATGATGTATTCAAGTAATTTCTGCACTGCTTTTGAAATGTGGGTTTCTAAATAGGAAAATCTTTACCAATCAGCAAAAGATTATGGAAGTCAACTTGGTGCCGTGAGGCAGGGATTACCATAGTTTAGGACCAGGTCTCAAGAAAGTTCATATTGTTTAAACAGTACTTTTGTTTGTTCCCATGAGTCATCATTTTCCACAAGCTGCATTGGTTACCAGTTGGCTTCTAGGTGCAGTTCAAGCTGCTGGTTCTGGGGTGAGGTCCTGTTAATTAAACAATGTCATCTCATGGAACCATAGAAGCATACTGTATCTGTTGTGGTGCCTGAAACAATGTCCCCGAAGAGAGCCACACATTTCCCATTTTATACATTCTCCATAAGTCTTTGAAAATGTGGTTTGTTTCCCAGGCCTTGGATTAGATTGCTTGTTGAGGCTTTGGTGGATTGGGATTGGGGATTTTTTGGGAAATACCGTGTTTTCCCCAAAATTATAAGCCCTAGCATGATTTTTAAGTGTGCACCTAATATAAGCCCTACCCCCAAAATAAGCCCCAGCATTGTGGTTGCCCTGGGAGGACTGGGGGGGGCATGGACAGTTCGACATTGCTCATGGGGGGGAGCCTGGGGGGGCTGTGGGGGAGATCCAGGGGTCTCAAATTGTTTGAAAATCTTCTAATGAATAATAAGTTGAGTAACTGCTGTAGTCAGAGACAGTAAGAAACATTCTAGGCCTTAGCACAGATCAAACTTCCAGAATACAGTCTAACCCTCAAACCTCACATTTTCAGCTCCTTCCCCATTCCCCACCAACAAATCCCTTTCATGGAAATCTCTGAAAAGTTTGTTCTTGAAAAAAAAAATAGACCTTTTATATAATTGCATTAACCCATTCCTAAAAAGCTCTTAATATTGCTTTTTTTTAAAAAACTAGACAACATGTTTAGATTTTTCTTAAAATCTAAACCATGTTGTCTAGTATCTTGTAAAAAGCAGTATTAGAGCTGTTTTTGATCTTCCTGGGTTCTATCTTCTCCTATACAACTTTGTCAAGGAGGGGAAAAAAACAAATCAACTTTGCAAAGAATTGTTAGCATGAATATCTCTTGGTGTAGAAGTGATTCTGTGCATGGTTTTCTCTCTCTCTCTCTCTCTCTCTCTCTTTGTGTGTGTGTGCGTGCACATTTATATGTCTTCTTGGTGGTTTTCTGTCTAGGCTCATCAGGTTAGCTTTTGAGGTACCTACTAATGCCACAACTCTACAAGGCGGTGCATTCAGAAAATCTTTTTTTTTTTTCCAGTGCTTATTACTTCTTCCTCTCTTGGCAATCAGCCTATGAAGAAATAGAGCATCTTCCTCCTCTTAACACACACTCTCCTGCTGGGTAGTTTTATAGAGGAGAGGAAATGGACGAATGAATGGAAAAATCTCCTCGGGTTCTAAGAACACCTCTAAACTTCAAACCAGCATTGCTTTTAGCCAATTACATTACAGTTGATTGCCCTCATTAAATTCTTCACTGTCCCTTTAAATACTTAATAAAATTATTTGTATCCTGCTTTTCAGGATAACAGTCATCTTAAAATGTCTTACAGAAAGCTAGTTTGCTGTCATGATTAAGGCATTAGTCTAGAAACTGGGAGAGCGTGAATTCTGTTCCTAGCGTAGGCATGCAGCCAGCTAGGTGACCTTGGGCCTGTCACTTTCTCTTAGCCTTAAGAAGGAGGCAATGAAAAACCTTATCAAGAAAACTACACGGACCTATCCATACAGTCTCCAATAAATGACATGATTGGGTGGGGAAAAATGCCTTACAAGCAATTTAAACAAATGTAAATGAAAATTCATAGCAGGTGTTGAAATATTGACATGACTACTGGTGCTATGGACCAAATAGGGAAGGGATAGTCCAACTGAGCTGACCATCTCCCCTCTCTCTTCAGGGATGCCAATTGGGCAGTTGACAGTAATGAACTGAAAAAAGAAAAAGGACATTTTTAACTAATACAATCATATTTGCTTATCTTCCTTCTTCTCTTGTTTTATGTACTAGACCAGAATGAGATTTATGTACAAAGGCAGCAAACATAATAATATCTATCATCATTTCATGTTTTGCTTTATTATTATTGATATTGAGGGTGTGCGATAGCTCAGTGGTTAAAGATACTGAGCTTATCAGCTGGAAACATGACAAGACTCAAGCGTTGCCTAATGGGGTGAGCTTCAGCTCTTGCTCCAGCTCCTGCCAATCTAGCAGTTCAAAAGCATGTAAGTGTGAGTAGATAAATGGTAACAGCATTCCATGCACCAAAGCTTATACTCATATTGGCCACATGATCATGGAAGCATCTTCAGACAACGTTGGCTGCCTCAGCTAAGAAATGGAGAGTCGGATACGACTGGACAGGGAAAATCTTTAACTTTACCTATTATTGAAATTAGATTTTCCCTCACCTTGTTCATAGATAGCTATATAATTTACAGTGGCTAAGATACCTAATATTCCTGCCTCCTGTTATCTCACAACAACAACCTTATGAGATTAGTTGGGTTGAGAAAAATGACTGGCCCAAAGTCAAACCAGCCGGCTTTCATGCCTAAGGTGGGATTAAAATTCACATTCTTCTGCATTGTAGACCAGCACCCTCATCACTATACCAAACTGGTCTCTTAGTACCTGTAAGATATATCACACATTAAACAAAAATCACAACTGCAAACTGATTCTGTTTTAGTTGCCTTCCAGTTTTTACCTTTGTGTCTTCCAGACTAAGGCATATAGTTAAGGCTCTGCAAATGTTTTCTCTTGTTGCATAAAGCCTGATTATTAAAGGATAGCATATTCTACATATACTTTATTCACTATATCCTAACATGTTAAAAATCAAACTAAGTGAGCATGAGAGCTTCTTCAAGATAAAATCACAGATCCATTTGCCTTCTTGCCCATCATTCTAACTGAATTTCTAACTTTGCCTGCTTATTTTTCAATGAAACCATTTATAGTACTCAGTCATTACTGATTTCTTGCAAGTTATTTGCAAATATTTACCCAACATTGCATTAATAAAGAAAATCTGCTGATCTCTGATAATAGGTTTCATGTGTCTTTCCTTATCCTGATTCTGACCACCATGGCCTGTTTTGGATGTTTGAAAAGCCACCAGTAGACAAATTAATTATCATAAATCAACAGTGCTTGGTATTGAGCCTTCCTTCCTAGTGTAATTGTTATATAACTTTTTGGTGAATTGATATAAATAGGCATCAGCTGCAGGAACTGCGTCTCAAACAAGAACAAAAAGTTACATTGAAAGAAAAGAAGACTGAATTCCCAGGAGAGTCCAGTGGAGAAAAAACAAAGATTCCTAGGCCAAAGACCGTAAATAGATCAACTATACTGCCAGTCTCTGTCCAGGTATGGATAATAGAGAAACATTTTACCTGAAAAATTCTTTTTTTGAGTAGGAACCTCTGAAAAATGAGAAAGCAAAAAGGCTTTAATTCTGTGATTTAATTTTTAATAAACCAATTGCAGTGAACAAAATTGCAAAACTAAAAATAGATATTCTCAAATTAAGTAACATCTTATAGCCAATTAAATTCATTTTCAATTTTGAATGGATTCAGTGAGAATTAATTAATGCATATTTTCATAAATTAATTAAGTTGAGAGCCAACTTGTCCATTATTCAGAATGGTTGGTTTCCCTTCACTTTCTAGTAACAGTAGGAATCATTATTGTTTTACATCTAAAATGCTCATTGGTTGTTTAGCATTTTGCTTATTTAGCATTTTAACAACTGTTCTTCTCTCAGTGAGTTTGAGATAACACAGATAAAAGTACCGGCAGATTTCATCATTAGTTTTTTAATTCAGTGTATAAATAGTTATTTTGTACTTCACAAACTTAGCTGTTGCTCGCTACCTGTAAAATAAGCTTAGAACACTATGTACAAAATACATAAGAGCATTTACAAAAGTGTTCTGTTTTGTGCAGATTTCTAGTGCAAAGCTCCACACTTAATAAATAGCATATAGTCCCTGTGTTCAGTCATTCAGACCCTAGTTATCTCACGGTTGAACTATTGCAATGCACTCTACCCTTGGAGAACATTTGGAAGCTATAGTTGGTGCAGAGTGCACTGATGTTGGCAATTCTTGTGAGTCTAAGAATGGCCCATGTAACACTACTGCTCTGTGAGTTGCATTGGCTATTAGTCTGCTTCTGGATGCTTTTCAAGAAATTTGGTAATCATCTTTAAAGTCCTTCATGGCATGGGTCCAGGCTATTTTGAGAAACTGTCTCATCCCACTAGGATTGGCCCATCCCACCTGTGCCAGCAAGGGAGGCATTCTGCAGGCACCATTGGCCTGAGTATTCTGACTGGCTGGGTCCAGGAGAAGGGTCTTCTCTGCCGTCGCAACTGCCCTCCGGGATATCTTTCCCTCCAGAGTGAGGTCGGCTCCAATCCTCCTGAGCCTAAAGACCTGGTTCTACCAGTTAGCTTGGGGTTCCAATCCTTCATTCTGGAGTCCCTGAATGGCCCAATTACATTTTGTATATATTATAGAAAGCACATTTAAGCTCCACCAATTTCAGCTGAAAACAAGCATAACTTTGAGGCTTTTGCTAGGAATCATTTTTCTTCTCCTTTACTTCCTCTTTTACTGCTTTAGACGTTGAAGGAGATACAAAGTTCTTGCTCTTCTGCTGCCTCAACCATTGTTATTTGATGCTATTATAATGTCTTTGATGTTCTCTCTCTATCTTCTTCTGGGTCTGCATTGTGTTCTTTGACCTTCTCATTTTGTATATGCGTGGGTACGGTATGAAATCCCAGGACATTTTCTCCAGGTGAACAAACCACTTTATTTCTCTTTTTGTTGTAGTTTAGAGATAAGTTCTATGCCAATTCTTTTTCTCTTATAATCTGATTTCTGATTTTATCTCTTCTGATCACTTCAGCAGCTTTCTTCGAACATCTCATTTCCATGATGATTGGCATTCATTTTTGTTTTATTGTAAGTGTTCTTATTTGATACTGGTAACATAGGGAATGAATATGTTTGTATCAGATGCTTCTTTGTACTGATCAGTATTGCCTTAGGTTGCAGGAGTGGAGCTAATTGTCCCAATACTTGGTTTGCCATACTGCATTGTATGTTAATCTCTTCGTCCATTTTACCGTCTTCGTTAAATGTTGTTCCTAGATATTTGAACTTTGATACTTGTGTTATGCTTGTTCCCTCTATTACTTTCTTAAGATGTGCGTTTTTCTTCCAATTGCCATTACCTCCATTTTCTCTTTGTTGATTCTCATATTATTTGTCTTGCATTCTTGGTTCATGACTGTAAGATGTTATTGTAGTTTTAGCTGTACTTGCTATCAGTGACTGATCATCTGCAAATATATTATTTGGCTTTTTTTGCTTATGCTGTCAATATAGATGATAAACAATAGTGGTGATAGTACACAACCCTGTTTATATATTACTGTGAAGGGTTCCAATATTCCACTTCTGCAATCATTTTATAAGCTTTTCCATGCTCTAATAAGATGTTCATTTACTCTATATTGGGTCAATGTTTGCCATAGCAATTTCCTATCAACTGTATCAAATGCTTTTTCTTAGTCTACAAATGTGACAAAGAGATTCTTATTGTATTCCATGTTCTTTTCTATTAGTAATTGAAGTGCAAAAATTGCATCTGTGCTGCTTCTATTTCTTCTAAAACCCATCTGCTCTTTTGCTAGTTGTTTTTCTATAACTGGTCTTAATCTTGTTTCTATTATCTCGGAGTACATTTTTTCTGTATGACTCAAGAGTGAGATGCCTCAATATTGAGTGCATTCTCATTTGCTCTTGTGTTTGTTCGGATTCTCGAAGTCCAACCCTGGTCCACATTGTGAGAGGTGGTAACAGAATAAACTAAGGAGTGGGTGAAGTATGGCATGATTTTGTGCCATAGTGTCATTATGGGTAGCCATGAAGGCCATCCTGGTTCACCCTGAAACAGCCTGACCACAGGGGCTCTAGTGAAGTTGCAATAGGCCCAGCAAACCAGCAATGGATAATATATTATATTATACAGTATATTATAATGAGATACAAATGGATTGATCTTGGAATCATTGGGAAAGTTAATTTGTGGTTAAATACCATTTTCTCTTATTCCAACCCACCTCACAAGATTGGAAAATTAGAGGAGGAAGGAATATTAGCTATGTTTGCTACCCTGACTTATTTATAAAAACAATAAAGGTGGGAACGAATGAATGAATTACTTACAACTGAGATAAAACTTATGCTTTTCATTCTGAAAATGCTCTGGATTCAAGGCTGAAATTTACAATACATCTTGATACCTGGTTTCTAATTTAAATTAAAATTACAAAATGTTATGTTCTATGCCAGTTGCACCTGTTCCTCAAGGCCATGCTCATACTTTGCTTACCTCTCATATGAATTGTTGCAGCACATTCTATGTGGGGTTGTCCTTGAGTGTCTAGAGGTTTCCACTGGTGCAGAATGCAGTTGTGTGGATAATTATGTATGCTCTGTGATTATAACATCTTACACTTTTCAATGAGCTGCATTGGTTGCCAACTTCTTTCTGAGTTTAATTCAAGTTGCTGGTAAAGAAAATATCAAACCCTACATGGCACAGAACCAGGTTATTTGAGGGACCACCTCTCTTTAATCCTATCTACCCATCCCATTGGATCTGGTAGGAGGGGCATGCTCCCATCAGCCAGAGGTGTTGGTTGGTGGTATCTTTTCTGCTGTGGCATCCACCCTGTGAAACATCATCTCCCCAGAGATCAAATTAGCCTTTCAAAAGACCCTGAAAACATAGTCTAGCTAATAATAATAATAATAATAATAATAATAATAATAATAATAATAATAATAATAATAATAGTAAAGTTGGAAGGGACCTTGAAGGTCATCTAGTCCAACCCTCTGCTCAGGTAGGAAACCCTATACCATTTCAGACAAATGGCTGTCCAGTCTCTTCTTAAAAACTTCCAGTGTTGGAGCATTCACCGCTTCTGGAGGCAGGTTGTTCCACTGGTTAATTGTTCTCACTGTCAGGAAGTTTCTCCTTAGTTCTAGGTTGCTTCTCTCCTTGATCAGTTTCCACCCATTGCTTCTTGTCCTGCCTTCAGGCGCTTTGGAAAATAGCTTCACTCCCTCTTCTTTATGGCAGCCCCTGAGATATTGGAACACTGCTATCATGTCCCCTCTCTTCCTTCTCTTCATTAAACTAGACATACCCAATTCCAGCAGCTGTTGGAACAGATCTGGGTACTCAGATCTGGGTACAAAGTGGTAGAGCCCTGGTTGTATTGAATATTATTGGTAGGTGTGATTACCTCAGCTGTGAACTGTATGCATTTTATTATGTTTTGTATTTTAGATTTTTTAAACTATTATATTGTCTGATTGTTTTACACTGTCTTAATTATTTGTAAGCCACCCAGACTCATATACACGAGATGTGCATCTACATAAACTGGAATAGTAAATAAATAAATCATATTTATGAGAGGTGTTAAAAGCCTTTTCATCTCATTGCCACTCATCCAATCATCTATCAGAATAATTTTTCCCATAGATGGCATTTATTCAGAGTGTTGCATAGTTCAAAACTCATGCCAGTTCTTTCATTAAGAACATTCACTTTAATAGCATGTGGTTCTCATTAGTACTGTATATGTATTCCTATTATCATATGCACCCAGAGCAATCTAAATGACATTAGCTAATACCTACTGACATTATTTTATCCTTTTCATTAATGATTAATCTTTTGTTTTCTCCTCTATGTATGTATGCATCAATTTCACTCCAAAATATCAGACCTAATTCATTCATTCTGATCTTTAATGCATCTTTCCCCTTTGTTTTAATTTTGTGAAAGATAGTGTATTTGTTTCATATTTCATTTCTGTTCTTTACATTTACTTCTCCAAAGTTACAATCAACCATGCATCATGACTATCACCAGTATTGTCTAGAAATATTGACCTCTGCCATCAGGTATAGCTTTGGTCTGTTATGGTTTTTATGTGGTACTGTATATTTTGGCAAGATGTAGAAAAAGTCATATGGCACTCAATATATAGCATCTCTGGTAATGGTAAGGACATTTACCAGATATTTTTTGTACATTTTGAACAGTTTGCTGTTGGTTTTATATGCTACTTTGAGTAAGCTAGAATTTTCAAATTAAAGACTACTTTGCCCCATCATACTAGCTGTGGTTCACTGATAGATCATCAAGGTACAACATAACCGTTTAACATTTTTAAATAAATAATGAAGTTTAGCATCAAAAGGATACAATACCAATGCACATATCAAAACTCTACAAATCAGTTAATTTTTGTACTTGTACTTTTTTCAGTTATATAAATCCAACAGATGTAAAATACAATATTGCATTTAAATACATATACTATTTAATTGCTTTCCTATCTGCCTGTAAAATAAAACAAAGCAAAAATACATGCAACTTATCCACATAAACTCTTGCTCCCTGAGGCAGTATTTTACCAGGTAGACAGATGTGTTACAATCACGAGCTACAAAGTGGTTCAGTAGCAACTGTTGGAACACCAATCATTATTGTTTTGAAACAGCTTGCTATATTTTTTTTCAAGTTTGGAATGCTCAAAATTGCTGTTTCATGATAGAATATCAAGGTATATGATTAGTGGTATCAGCCTTTGTTCTGTTTAGGAGATAAACCAATCTCACAGAAAATAAATCAAATAAGCACTGAAAAATATGGATGACTGAGTTATTCTAATTTATTTTTATCTTTTTATTCAAAAAATAGCTGGGTATGAGAACCTTAATCTCTTTGATATACACTGATGTTAGGGGAATGATGCCAGATGAGGTATCACTTAGAACAGGGGTGTCAAACTCAATTTCATTGAGGGCTGCATCAGCATTGCAGTTGCCCTCAGGGGGCCAGATGGGTGTGGCCAGGGTGGGTGTGGCCTACTGAGTGGGCGATGGAGTTGGTGTGGCCTACTGGGTGGGCATGGCCAGCTCTACATCGTTCGCATCAAGGGTGCCTGTGGGGGCCTGGGCAGGAGTAGGACAGATCTGAGGGTCTCTGGCAGAAGGGGGTGGGACCAGGGCAAGTGCCAAGGCATGGTCCACTGGAGGAGCCTCACTGTTCCTCTCAGGCCATGCGGGGGAGACCAGATGGTGGTGTGGGCTGCCCAGAGCCCTGGGCAGCAGAGGTCAAACGCCCAGCCTGGCCCTCGAGCACTCATAGCACCAAGCTCAGCCCCACTTCCCCAAGGAGGCGCCCACCTGCACTTACCTCCTCCTCAAGGCTGCTGCTGCTGTGCTTGTTCTCCTTAGCCAGGTTGCTCATGATGGGTACAAGGGCAAGGTCAGAGGGAGGCCCATTTCCTCTCCATGGGAGGAGACACAGCGTTGTGATTCCGTGCCAGCCTGTGTTCCCAACAGCTGAGTCTGAGGAATCTGAGGAGGATGTGGAGGAGGCCGTTGAGGGGCCATCAGGGTCAGAGGGAGGCTCTGATGAATTACAAGACTCACGGCTTGATGAAGAGCCTGGCCCCTCCAGTCGTGTTTCTGATGAAGCTCAGCTGTGTGAGGAGCAGGAGTCAGATT